AAAAATTTATCAAGGTAATACTCTCGAGAAAGAATGGGGGTCAGGGATGGGAAGGAAATTCTCTTGTATTTTGAAAGAAATTTGAAATGTTACAGCATTTTTGGAAAACCATCTGGCAAAAGCCATTAAAATTAGAAATACATATTATTGGCCAGTGGCTCACACGCTTAATTTTAGCACTTTGGGAGGTCAAGGTAGGAGGTTTGCCTGAAGCTAGGAGTTTGAAATCAGCCTGGGCAACATAGTGAGACCTTGTCTGTACAATCAATCAATCAATAAAATACACATTCTCTTGGACCCCAAAATCCCACTGCCAGGAATCTATTCATGGGGGGAAGGGGAGGACTAATATATCAGGGTATGTGTGAGTGTGTGTGTGTGCATATGGATGCATGGATACGTACAGGATGTCATCGTTAGTTGCAGGGGTGAAACTCTAGAAAAGAGTTAATGCCTGTTAATAGTGTATAAAAAATTGAATAAAAAAGTGTACATTGATCACATAATCTGTACTAGTTGGTTTAGAAGATTTTTCCACAGGGTTTTGTTAGATGAGAACAGCAGGCTGCAGAGAAGTATCTATAGTATGATCCTGTTTTTATAAAAGCAAATGTTCTCTGCATGACAGCAGGAAAGTGGAAGTACACACTCCATTTTGTTCACACTAGGTGTGCAAGCGTGTGTGTGTACAAAGCAGAAGGGGGAGCGGGCTGTATCGAGAGAGAGAGAGAGAGAGAGAGGGATATAAACCAAGAAGGGCAATGGAAGAGCAGAGTGTAAAATTTTCTCGTTATATAAACCATGTGTCTGTACATAAAGAAGATTGAAAGGGTGATAGTCGCCAGACGTAAAATGATGTGATTCTAGATGATACCTCTTCTCTTGCTATTGTTTCCTATCACACTGAACTTACATGGTTTAAGAAATCCTTAACAAACTCTTTTCACGGTGAACTAAAGAATGGGAAATGAAGAGGTGAAGACAAGTGTAGAAAAGCATTTCAAGACACTCCCTCTCTTTTCCGTGACAAGGGGAAATGGAGCTTGCGTGGAGGCACAGGTGAGGTCAGGAAGATGCTAGTGAGTGCGAGAGGAAATAATTTAGTAACTGGGAGGAATTAATGACACAGCAAAGAACGGTGTCAGGGCTGGATGAAAATCCTTGAGCAGGCGAGAGAGGCTGAGATCCCATGCTAAAATAAGAGTTGAACATTTCATCCATTGTTACAGGAGGGAAGTCAGAGTTCATGGGCAGGCCATAGGCAGGCATAGGAAGATCAGTGGTTTGTGGCAGGACTTAGGGCATCTAGCTGCCACCACAGTTGGAAGTGACAGAGTTTCACATAGCCCTGTGCTTGCCAGCTTTTTCAGAATGGGTTCCAATGATCCCTGCCTCCTGATATCCACACCCTTACATAGTGTCCCCTGATATCATACCAGAGTTGCTCAGTGTGACCAATAGAATATGGCAGAAGTGATGGAAGGTCACTTCTGAGATCAGATCCTAAGACACTGTGGCTTTCTTCTTGGTCACTTTCCCACCCTGTTTTGAGTCAGTTTCTCTGAGAGAAGCACCTGCCATGTCATGAGCAGCTCTACAGAGAGGCCTCAGGTGCCTCATCCAAAGCCTGCTGCCACCAGTCACATGAGCAGTGCACCTGGAAACAGATATACAGCCCTAGTCGAGCCATCACATGTCTGGGGCACCAGGAGAGACTGAGCCAGAAACACTCACCTGATCAGCTCTTGGGTTCCCAACCCTCAGGAACTATGAAATGTTTTAAGTGGCTACATTTTGTGGTAGTTTGGTCACAGCAGTAATAAGTCATGGTTCATCTCTATAACACAGGTAGCCATGAGCTTTATTTTATTTTATTTTATTTTTTGAGACAGAGCCTCAAGCTGTCCCCCTGGGTAGAGTGCTGTGGCATCACAGCTCACAGCAACCTCCAACTCCTGGGCTCAATCAAGTCTCCTGCCTCAGCCTCCCAAATAGCTGGGACCAGAGGTGCCTGCCACAATGCCCAGCTATTTTTTGGTTGCAGCTGTCATTGTTATTTTGGCAGGCCCAGGCTGGATTCGAACCTGGCACCTTAGGCGTATGTGGCTGGCGCCTTAGCCACTTGAGCCACAGGCACCAAGCCTAGCCATGAGCTTTAACATTAATTTTCCTTTGTATTGGTTTGGGTAGCTTATATCTCTCTAAGATATATCTTATATATCTTATATATCTCCCTAAGTTACCTAAGATATAATTTGTGACTGTGGGCGTTTTAGTCAAAGCTACTGTCTCTCAGTTTCAAACCACCTTTCCATGTTCTGAAACATAGTAAGGGACACTGGGAGGCAACTGGAAGGCAGGAGGCAGAGTGGGGACTTCGGGGTTCCTGCCCTCCTGTCAGCATGGATGTAGCCGGGTTTCTATACCCCAGCAGCAGCACTTGACCTCAGCAGCAGGAGTTTATTTCTAGCTTGAATTTTTGGGTTTTGTTTTTTGGAGACAGAGTCTCACTATGTCACCCTTGGTAGAGTGCTGTGGCATCATAGCTCACCACAACTTCAAACTCTTGGGCTTAAGCAATTCTCTTGCCTCAGCCTCCCAAGTAGCTATGGCTACAGGCGCCTGCCACAACATCAGCTATTGTTTGTTGTTGTTGTTGTTGTTGTTGCAGTTGTCATTGTTGTTTAGCTGGCCGGGGTGGGGTTCGAACCCTCCAGCCTGGGGATTTGTGGGTGGCCCCTACCCACTGAGCTCTGGGTGCAGCCTTTAGCTTGAAGTTGTTACTTCTCAGGAGCAGCATCATTGTCATTGTGGCCCCTCAGAAACACCAGCAGTTCCCCCTTCAGAGTTTTGAATTCCAGCTCAACAGGGTCCTCCTCCAAGCTTCAGAAATGTTGAAGTTCCAACCTCTTTCCTTTGTTCCCCCACACCCAGGATGATAGCCACTTCTGGGTCTCTGATGGGTTCGTGTTCTCTTTTTCTTTTTATAGGCTTCCAAAACCCAATTTGCAATTCTTGATCTTAAATTCTTTGTTAATGTGTCTCCTGATAACCACTTCAAAGAAGTCTTCCTGTTCTGTTCTACTATCACTTGTCTCCCTCAAGTTATAAAATTATGAGTGAATATATATTTATACCTTTTCGTCTTTCACTGGATTTTTGTGAGGGTTGGAATCATGTCTGTTCTATCACGGACAATCTAATGATACACAGTGGCTGACACATAAAAGATACTTAATACTTGTTCAGTGAATGAATGATGAATGGTTCATTATTCATGGACCCATGCCTGAATTAAATTTGCCTCATTTCATCGTCAGATGATGAATTCCATTTTGTACCTGCTGAATTCAAAGTGACTTTGGGACATCCTGTATGATAAGCAGAATACCAGCAGTCCTTCCATAAATGTTCACAGCATGATCCCCAGAACCTGTGAGTGTTGCCTTTCACAGGAAGAAATGACTTAGCAGATGTGATTAAGTTAAAGATCTTTAGTTGGGGAGAGTAGCCTAGATTGTCCAGGTGGGCCCAATCTAATCACAAGGTTCTCTATAAGAGAGAAGGAGAAGCAGAAGAGTCAGAAAAAATATGACGGGAACACTCCTTAAGGCAACTTGGAAGTGTGTTTCAGGCTGCAAACCTCAACATTGGCCCAGATAAACTCTCCATATAGAAAGAAATAAAAGAATGGAAGAGAGAGGGTGGGGCGTGGGGGTGGGGATGGAGGGAGGGTGATTGGTGGGGTCACCTCTATGGTTTATCTTACAAGGGTACAAGTGAATGTTTCTAAAAGCAGAGTATGAATGTCTTAATAACTAAGAAAATGACACACAGGCTACATTAACCAGTTTGATGAGAGTATTTCGAATTGTATATGAAAACACCACACTGTACCCGGTGATTGCATTAATGTACACAGCTATGATTTAATAAAAAAAAAGAAAGAAAGAAAATGGAAGAGAGGAGTTTGAAAATAAACAGAAGAGAGAACAAGAAAGAGAGAGAGAAGGAAAGTGAGAAAGAAGGGAGAGAGAAGGAAGGAAGGAAGGTAGGAGAAAAGGAAGGAAATGAGGAAAAGAAAAGTACAGATGTGGTGATGGACACAAAGGTTGCAGTGATGTGGCCAGGGGTCAAGAAATGAAGTCAGCTTCCAAGCCAGAAAAAGCAAGGAAGCAGATCCTCTCCGAAAGCCTACAGAAGAAACACCGTCGTTTTGATTTTCAGCTACAGAACATTTTTGGACTCTGATACCCAGAACCATAAGATAATAAATTTGTGTTATTTTAAGCCACTAAGCTTGTGGCAGTTACAGCAGCCCTGGGTCTATATACAACACTTCCTGGCATATAGCAGGCACAAAATAAATATGCGTTGAATTAACGCAAAAAGCGCATACTAGGTCCTCAGGTTGTGCTCATCTATGATACTATGCCTGTTACAACACATCTCACGCCAATAACTCGCCTTCCTCTATTTCCCCACCTTCCCTTTGGGGAGGAGGAAAAAACAGAGGAGTTGAGAAAACTTAGGATCATCACTTTGGTCTCGTGTCACATTTCGTTGGCTTCATCGGCTCAACGAGACATAAAATAACTGCAGCAGCACCAGCAATGAAAGGTTAAAGGTAAACTTGGCCGCCCGCCCAGGCGGACGGCCCGGGCTCAGCCGGCAGGTGCAAAGAACTGCATGCTGGGAACTGGAGTTCCCCGGAGAGACCTAGTCCGATAGGGCCGGGCCCCCGCAGCATGCTGGGAGCTGTAGTCGAGGGTCGCGTCGTGGGGACTCCACCTCTGCGCTTCTAGTTCGCCTCACTGCATGCTGGGAATTGTAGTCTTCAGGGGCCCGCGCTCCTCCAGGTGTAGAGGCGCCAAGACTGCCGCCATTTTAGGTCCCGAGGTGAGGCGGCCGGGAAGCCGAGCGCAGGCGGGCTCAGCCCCGGAGCTGGGCCGGCCCCGCCCCCGGGGCGCCCGGCGCCCGCCCCTGGCTCAGGCCCCGCCTTTCCCCACGTGGCTGCCGCCTAGAGGAGGCGCCTGAGCCGGAGCGGGCGGCCGCGGGTCCGGCCCCGTCCGCGCAGAGTCCCCGGTCGGCGGCGCCTCGGAGCTGCCCGGCTGCCCGATGCTTCCGCCCCGGCTGCCGCGGGCCGGGCTGTGCGCTTAGTGGCCGGCTCGGGGCCCCCGAAGCGCCGGCGGGGCGACAGCGGCCTCGGGCCCCGCGGAGACGGAGCGGCTGGAGGACGAGGCGGCGGCCGCGGGGAGGAGGATGGGGGCGAACCAGCTAGTGGTGCTCAACGTGTACGACATGGTGAGTGCGGCCCCTGGCGGCGCCAGCCCGGCCCCGCCGGCTTCCTCTCGCCGCTCGGGCTCGGACTCCGGCCCGGCGCTCCCTGCCCCGCGTGTCCGCCTGCGGCTTAGTTCTCCCGGGGAGGGCGGGGAGGCGGAGGACTGTCATTTCTTAATCCTCTCCTCCGTCGAGGCTCCTCTCGCTATGCCGCCTACTCGGCCCCAGGGCTGGGGTCAGGGTTCGGGCCGCCGGGACTCCCCACGCCGTCGGCTGGGCCCGGACCCGCCTCTGGGCCCGACCCCGTGGCGACTGGCGGTGTCCTTTCCGCCAAGCTTCCGTCGCGTTTCCGACGCCCTGGCTCCCGCCCGGGGCTGCCCCGTCGCCCCTGTCCCGACCGTCCTGGCTCCCAGCTCCTCTTCTGCAAACGTGCAGCTCGCTTCATGCCGAAGTCTTCAAAGTCTCCCCTATACGGAAAGATACAGGGTCCACCTAGATTTGAAGCGACTCATTTTTTGAGTTTTAATGTGAGCCTGGAGTTAAAAGGAGATGGTTTAACATCCTGAGAAAAGTGAAGCATGATAGAAAGTTAGAATCTTAAGAATTAAATGCACACAACTTTTGAAGATCCTATATCAAGAAAAAATTCTCTAGATTTAATTTTGTGTGTTCAACTGGACCCCTTTATTTTTCAAGGCTTCTTACTGCCTTTTTACTTTTTCTGTGCCCCCACCATCTGAATTTGCTTTTTCTTTTATTCACATGAACTGTTACAAGCCATCTTGGGATATGTACTGCTCTTGTAAAGTGTGCCTTTTCTTCCAGCAGTAGATTATTAAAACCCCTTTATAAATTAGGAGTATGCAGTAGTCGGAGGCTGCGGGGTCAGAGCCTAAAAGAAATACATGAGATTAGAGGAAGAGAATTTTGTTTTATATAAGGAAATGGGTTTTTTGACATTTATGAATCAGAAAATACATTGCTAATTGTGATAAACTGGTACAGGCTAGAGGTGATATTCAAACCAAAATTTTTTCAAGGAGGAATGTTCTGAACATTTTGTTAAAATATTAAGAAATTAACAAAGATCGTATTCTTCATGTCACTGGTGTAAAGTAGGAAGTTACAGAGGAAGCAAGCAGAGAAAAAGGGTAAGTGACCTGCCCACACCACTAAAAGTAGGATCTGGAATTTCTAGACCACAGTCTGATTCACTATGTTCTCCACTGAATAATATGTGCATTTATTTCTTATGTATTGTTTTTTTTTTTGTCAACAGGAGATGAAGCATAAGAATGGTTATCAGAGTGGTAAATAGTTGAATTATTAGACTTCCAATAAACTTAGTTTTGTATATGGGGTTTTTTTGTTGTTGTTGTT